GTACGATGTATTTATACTATAGAAAGTGACAAGACAGTTTAGGAGAATCAGATACACCCTGAAGACATACTGTTGAGTGGAAAAGAAGGTAAGTTGTAGAATAACTCCAGTATGATCCCATGGATGTGTATAAAAAAGAAAACATATCTTCTGGTCTGAAATATGTACGTTAATTCATAGATAAAGGTCTAGAAATAATAGAATGGTTAACAATGTGATTCCTGAGAATAAAGTAGGATTGTGGGGCTTAGGGTGATGAGAGCTGTTCAGTTTTTACTCTAGGCTTCTATGTTTGGGCATTTTATAAAAACGTCATGGTTTCCTTTTGTAATTATAAAATCCAGAATTATTGGAGAGGAAAAGATGTGTGACAAAGAGAAATTGGTGCACAAGGTGGGATTTGAGGTCAGGAGAAGGAAGATAGGCATTTTGGCAGGTGAGTTCTGGCAGTTAACACAACCAGATATACTCTGTTGATATTTTGTGAATGGTGATTTGGGGCTTTTGTAGTGTTTTCAAGACGCATGTATACATTTATATATGTGTACTACAGACAAACGATGCATTTATGTATTAATATATGTTATATACAAAAGGTATATATATGTATATGTGTGTGTGTGTATATATATATGCCTCCAGAAACAGTATATGTCATTTGCAAAATGTGTGTATATATACACACCCCTACAGTTGACCCTTCAACAATGCAGGGGTTAGGGACGCTAACACCCTGTGCAGCTGAAAATCTGCACACAACTTTTGACTCCCCCAAACCTAACACTACTTATAACCTACTGTTAACCGCAGCCTTACTGATAACATAAACAGTTGATTAACACATATGTTGTATGTTAGTGTACAATACTATATACTGCATTCTTACAATAAAGCAGAGAAAAGAAAATGTCATTAAGAAAACCATAAGGGGCCGGGCGCGGTGGCTCAAGCCTGTAATTCCAGCACTTTGGGAGGCCGAGACGGGCGGATCACAAGGTCAGGAGATCAAGAATATCCTGGCTAACACGGTGAAACCCCGTCTCTACTAAAAAATACAAAAAACTAGCCGGGCGAGGTGGCGGGCGCCTGTAGTCCCAGCTACTCGGGAGGCTGAGCCAGGAGAATGGCGTAAACCCGGGAGGCGGAGCTTGCAGTGAGCTGAGATCCGGTCACTGCACTCCAGCCTGGGTGACAGAGCGAGACTCCGTCTCAAAAAAAAAAAAAAAAAAAAGAGAAAAAAAGAAAACCATAAGGAAGAGAGAATATATTTACTGTTCATTAAGTGGAAACAGATCATCATAAAGGTCTTCATCCTCGTCGTCTCATGTTGAGTAGACTGAAGAGGAGGAGGAAAAAGAGGCGTTAGTCTTGCTGCCTCATGGTGACAAATATGGAAGAAAATCCACACGTTAGTGGGCCCACAAAGTTCAAATCCATGTTGTTCAAGGGTCAATCGTGTGTGCGCGCGCATGTATGTAAATTATACATATAATCTTTATTACTCGAAAAGGTATAAACTAGAATATAGGGCCCCCAAATAAAGAAGTCTCAAACACTCTTGAGACTCAAAGTCTCAGAAACAGTTTTCATATGTACCTTATTTTGGTCTACTGAACTTTTATTATTGGGTGAGAACAATTTCATGTTTTAGGAAACATGGATTCACTTCTATTCCTATATGAGTAATTCTGCCCCATTAATAGAACAGTTATATCTGCCACAGAAGTCTTTTCTCTAGCTCTTTTTTTTTTTTTTTTTTTTTTTTTTGAGATGGAGTCTCGCTGTCTTCCAGGCTGGAGTGCAGTGGCACAATCTTGTCTCACTGCAACCTCCGCCTCCCAGGTTCAAGCGATTCTCCTGCCTCAGCCACCTGAGTAGCTGGGATTATAGGCGCCTGCCACCACGCTCAGCTAATTTTTGTATTTTTAGTAGAGATGGGGTTTCACCATGTTGGTCAGGCTGGTCTCGAACTCCTGACCTCAGGTTATCCACCCACCTCGGTCTCCCAAAGTACTGGGATTACAGGCGTAAGCCACTGCGCCTGGCCTTTTCTCTAGCTCTTAACTTTGTCTCCATTTTGTTGGATTTGTTCTTTCAGTTTGTAAACATTTATTGCAACGTCGTATGCAGCTCTAGGTATGGGGCGTGCTACCAGGCAGGGAACAGACAAGGCCCCTCCTCTCATGAAGCTTATAGTTAGGTGGGAGTGGGGGGAGAATGGCGGTAATGAACTAAAAAATAGCAGGAAGTGAGCACCTCTGTGAAGAAAACTCAGTGTTTATGGTGATGTGAGAGGTAATGATGGGGGAACTACCTGAAGAAGAAAAGTGGTTAGGAAAGATATCTTTGAGGAAGTAATTTATAAATCAGGGCATTCACAACAGGAAAGAGCCAAATGTGTGATCATCTGGGGGAGGAGCATTTCAGAAAGAGGAAACAAAACAGCATTCCTAGGGTTAGAAGGAGTCTATAGGGCTCAAGAGCTTGCAGTGTGGTTGGGGCTTTTGGAGGCTGGATGAAGATAAGTGAGAGAGGTTTACAAGGACAGTGTCATGTCAGGCCTTGAGGGCAAGGTAAGGAGTCTGGATTTTATTCCAGATTTGATGAGAAGCCTTTGGGGGATTTCGATTAGGGCAATGACATGATCTGATTTAGGTTTATAAAAGATCTCTCCGAATACCTCTTGATTGTAAATGGGCAAGAGTAATCGCTTCTCGGCCTTTTGGCTAAGATCAAGTGTAGTATCTGTTCTTATCAGTTTAGTATCTGATATGTCCTCTATCCGAGGACAATATATTAAATGGGTTTTTGGAGCAGGAACATGGACTAGGAGCTTGCTCTGTCCACTCCACGCATCAACCTGGTATTGCCGTACCTCTAGGAACAGTGCACCCCTCTGGATGTTAAAACACGGTGTTACTGGCTGGGCACGTTGGGTCCCGCCTGTGATCCCAGCACTGGAAGGCTGAGGCAGGTGGATCACGAGGTCAGGAGTTGAAGACCAGCCTGGCCAACATGATGAAACCCCGTCTCTACTAAAAATACAAAAATTAGGTGGGTGTGGTGGCACACACCTGTAATCTCAGCTACTCAGGAGGCTGAGGCAGAGAATTGCTTGAACCTGGGAGGCAGAGGTTGGAGTGAGCCGAGATTGTGCCACTGCACTCCAGCCTGGGCAAAGAGTAACAGCAGGGAAAACTATTGGGAAGCTATGGCTGCACGTCCAGGTGTGAGAAGATGGTAACTCATACTAAGACGGCAGCTATAGCTATAAACTTGCTGATAGAATGAAGTTGGAGAGCTAAGGAAAGATAAAATCAGAAATGACTCCTAAGTTTCAGGCTTGGGCAATTGGGAGATGGGGGAAAAGCAGGGAAGGAGCAGGTTTCAGGAGAAATGAGTGACTGTTTTGGATGTATCAGGTTGCAATGCCTACTGGACAAATGTCAAATAGGCAGTAAGATACGATAGCCGGTAGATCGGAAATAGAGATACATGTAGGAGTTGCCTACATACACAGCGATGGTATTTATAGCCCTGTAATTGACTCCAAAGTCTCACGTTCACCACTGTGCAGGGTGAATGTGGCATAGGCCACCCTTCTATCTCTAGGCCTTCCCCTGGCTCTTCTTACTTTTGCTGTTGAAAGTTGCTTTTAGCTTCACAATGCAAAGGGCAGTGGGAGAACAGAAAAGCAAAACATTTCCCGAGCCTGTAATTACAGTGACAAAGAGTGCTTCTTGTTTGTGTAGCTCTCAACATTTTAATCATTACCTCCTCACTAAAGCTAAAATCTGAGCTTAGAAGTGAGTGGGTTTTAAAGAAGGATTCTAGATTCATACTGTGTTCTTTAAATATTATGAACTGAGAATACATTGATATTGATAAGTATGAAAGGTAATATAAGTTACATGAAGCAAAGCCTTTAGTGCTATAGATCATCCCTCTGTTTTATGTACCACTTTGCCTACTTCATTGAAACACAAGAACAAATTAAATGAAAATAAGAACATATGGAAATGGCTGGGCACAGTGGCTCATGCCTATAATCCTAGCACTTTGAGAGGGCAAGGCGGGTGGATCACCTGAGGTCAGGAGTTCGAAACCAGCCTGGCTAACATGGTGAAACCCCCTCCCTACTAAAAATACAGAAATCAGTCAGGCATGATGGTGGGCACCTGTAATCCCGGCTACTCGGGAGGCTGAGGCATGAGAATAGCTTAAACCTGGGGGGTGGAGGTTGCAGTGAGCTGAGATCACCCCACTGCACTCCAGCCTGGGTGACAGAGTAAGACTCTGTCTCCAAAAAAAAAAAAAAGAAAGTATGGAAATGTATCTGTACTTCCAGATAGTATTCCTATCTTGGATTTGACATTTAATTTTATTAAAATAATTTTGATGCATGGATGTTTTACATTTTTATGGGATTTATCAGTTGATCCTTTGTGATTTCTTTTTTTTTTTTTTTTTTTTTGAGACGGAGTCTCACTCTGTCGCCCAGGCTGGAGTGCAGTGGCCGGATCTCAGCTCACTGCAAGCTCCGCCTCCCGGGTTCACGCCATTCTCCTGCCTCAGCCTCCCGAGTAGCTGGGACTACAGGCGCCCGCCACCTCGCCCGGCTAGAGTTTTGTACTTTTTAGTAGAGACGGGGTTTCACCGTGTTAGCCAGGATGGTCTCGATCTCCCGACCTCGTGATCCGCCCGTCTCGGCCTCCCAAAGTGCTGGGATTACAGGCTTGAGCCACCGCGCCCGGCCGTGATTTCTTAATTTTATGCTTTGAAAAATGTTTCCTATCCCAATGTCAAGCCTCTGTAGGTTTACTGCTAGTTTTATAGCTGATTTATTTACTTTTTGACTTATAAATCCAAGTGGACTTTACTGTGTTGGATAGAACCAAATACAGACTTCTAAATTTTGGGGTTTTGCCATCTCAAAATAACTTGTAGCCAAAATACAATTGAATTCTTACTTACTTTGAATGATTCTTTGCTCATTGCAGAATAGCTCTCCAGACCCCCAGCTGGCCATGTGGTGAGTTCGGAGCCCAAATCAAGTAGTACCAGCCATCAGGGAACTCCCTCTATCTGTTTTGAATGGATTCACACCAGTCACAAGCCTGGAAAGATGGTGTCACAGTCTACAGTCAGGCAGGATTCTCCTGAGGACCCCTGGGAAAGGATCACCCATTACTCTGGCATTATTGATGGACCGCCTGGACTCCTGAACACTGACCATCCTCCTTGCCAATTAGACATCAGGCTCATGAGGCACAAAGCTGCCTGGATCAACCCCCAGGATGTGCAGCAACAGCTGCAGGACTTGCAACCTCAGGTGCCAGCAGCCGGGAACAGTGGGACCCATTTTGTGACAGATGCTGCCTCTCCCTCAGGCCCTTCATCTTCGTGCCTCAGGGACTCCCTGGCAGAGACAACATTGTCTGAGGCTACTACAGACTCCATTGGCAGCGCTTCTCCCCATGGCTCGAGGGAAAAGAGTAGCAGCTTCTCTCTGTCCTCAACAGAAGGACACATGGTCCACCCAGGATACTCTCATCAAGTGTCTCTGCCCACAAGCCCTAGGATTTTGGTCACCTCCCCATATCCTGAGACTGACAGTGCTTTTTTTGAGCCTTCCCACCTGACATCTGCTGCTGCTGAAGGTAATTTTAGTAGGTGACCCCCCTCATTCCTCTCTCTTCACACCCTTGCTTTACCTTGCTCTAAAGCCTGCTTTATTGTCTTCCCCATGGGAGAAAAGTTCGTGGGTTTCCACTTTGACCACATGCCAGTGCATTGCCTCATTTAATATTAGTCAGCAGCCCGGCCAGCTGGGTGGTCACAACAGGTGAAATCTAGTATTGGCTTTCTCCTTAGACTGCAGAGAATTGTTACCTTTTTAGCTTAACGTAGTTGATAATCAATGCCATGTGCCATCTTTAAGCTGGTGTCTGCCTTCAGGAACTTAGAGTTCATTAAATGGTCTGCAAGGGAGAGCATCAGAAGCACTCTCAAGTCAGTGTGGGGGTTGGAGGTGTTTTCAGACAGTCACAGAGAGCTCCATTTCACACCAGTACCTAGTAGGTGGTGAACTCACTTCACTTGTTATATTTATCTGTGTAGAGTCTGACGGGAAAATCGGAAGATTTTAAAACAATAACTACAGTACCCCCCGACGACTATACCAAACCCCTTTTTATTAAAACAAGGGCTCTCACTGCTATGAAGTAATGTACATATGCCTAAGACCCTAAAATTCCTAAAACTTGGATAATCCATGCAAAGTGCTACTCAAGAGTCAATAAATTAGCTATCACTGTTATCTGTGACATGTTTATTTCATTTTTAAATATTTATGTTATAGTCACACTTGTCATTATTAATTTACATTTCTATTAGAACCCTAGTACAAATAATTAATGAAGCTTTTTCTTTCCAAGCAATTTAAAAAGTCATCAGTCTGCCTGCTGCCTGCCTATTTCTCTATATGTTTATTTCTCACTAGCAGGAGCTCAACTTTGTTATTCGTTCTTTTGGAATGTTCTTTGGAAATGTTGGGGCAATCAAAGATGATGACAGTCTGTAACACATTTATTCATTGCTTAAGAAGAACACATTTTGGATAATCTTTCAATGGTTAATTTTGAGATAAGGACCAAGTGTAAGCGAAATGACAAGACCGATGACAGGCCTTTGTTTTTTTTTTTTTTTTTTTTTTTCTATTTTTTTGCTCACTTGCTTCGATAGTTCTAAGATGTAAGAGTGACTTGCAAATTTAGTAATGGCTAAGTGAGAGATTAGTCTTAATAGACTGTCTCATAGAGGAAAGCCCTCTCCCCAACAGAGCACCACCATAACGACAAGTTATAATAAACTGAAGGTGATCTTTGGGGCCTAGGATGCCCTTGCCTGAAACCTTTTATTCTATCACGGTACAGGAAGTTGTACTACAATTTACAATTATCCTTTAGCTTTGTCTTTTTCTCAGAAAGAAAACAGGTACCCCAGCCCCTGTTGCCCAAAGACAAGGACTCCCAGCAGCTCCTGCCAGCGCCTTTAGAAACAACTCACAGAGCCGGGCGAGGTGGCTCACGCCTGTAATCCCAGCGCTTTGGGAGGCCGAGGCCGGCGGATCACGAGGTCAGGAGATCGAGACCATCCTGGCTAACAGGGTGAAACCCCGTCTCTACTAAAAATACAAAAAATTAGCCGGGCGTGGTGTCGGGCGCCTGTAGTCCCAGCTACTCGGGAGGCTGAGGCAGGAGAATGGCGTGAACCCGGGAGGCGGAGCTTGCAGTGAGCCGAGATCGCTTCACTGCACTCCAGCCTGGGCGGCAGAGCGAGACTCCATCTGAAAAAACAAAACAAAACAAAACAAAAAACAACTCACAGAATGTTTTGAGAATATTTCTTAGACTCAGAGAGGGGATTCATTCTATAAGAGTAAGAAAAAGAAGCCCTGAGTGATCGGGTTTTCTTTCTGTGGTGTGGAGGCAGCAATAGGGAAAACAGCTATTGGCCACTAAGACGTGGATATTCCTATGACCGCTGCATCTCAGATGGCAGCAAAAGGGTTTTTTTTTTTTTTTTTTTTTTTTTTTTTTGTTGGGGGGGGAAATACTTTAAGGAAAGACCGTCTGCATCTGTAAGCATTTCTTGAGACTATAGGAAGGGATTCCACAGTTTCTTTGGTTTGCGTAGGAACTACACGTTCACAAGCGTTTTCACCTGCCTTTATCTCCTTAATGTCCTGATAAATATCCCAATTTCAGGGCTGAGAGCATTTTGATGCAGAGGCACAGCCGGTGAATGGACAGCTGGAACTGGAATCTACTCTGTTTCACTTCTTCTCTGTGTTCTTTCCTCTGTACTCAGAGTCTGCAAACTATGACCTGTGGACCAAATCCTGCCAGCTTCCTGTTTTTATAAATGAATTTCTCTTTTGTCTATAGCTGCTTTCTCATTACAGTGGCAGAATAGAGTAGTTGAAACAGATACTGTATGGCCCTCAGATCCTCCAATATATACCACCTAGCCCTTTATAGAAAAGGTTTGCCAACCCATAGCTTCTGAAGCTAAGAAGTCCAAGTTTTTCCATGCAACAACTACTTTCTTGAACATGAAGCAAAGGATTTGAATGATCCTGCTTGCAACTCCATCACGCTGAGAGCTGTGTCACCACCGTGTGCAGCATTTTGTTCTAATTTAGCAGGTTGGGACATCTCAGCTCTTGACACAGAAATTTTTGCTTTAAATGCTGCAGTAAGAAATCACATGACAGAAAAAATGTTTCTTTTGATGGTGGTCATTGCCAGTAATGGAGTGGCTAAGGGTGCAGGAATGGATGTGTCAGCAGAATGTGCCTTCTGCAGTTTGTTGGTTTTGACTGGAAGAAGACTGTCTTAGAGAAGCAATGCTGACCTTTTTTTGGATGGATTTTATTTCTCTAGACAGGAGGTTTAGGGCTGGGTGCAGTGGCTCATGCCTGTAATTTCAGCACTTTGGGAGGCTGAGGTGGAAGGATAACTTGAGCCCAGTAATTTGAGACCAGCCTGGGCAGCCTAATGAGACCCCCATCTCTGCAAACAAAATTTAGAAAATTAGCTGGGCATGGTGGCACCTGTAGTCTCAGCTGCTAGGGAGACTGAGGTGGAAGATTCGCTTGAGCCCAGGAGGTTGAAGCTGCACTAAACTGTGATCACGCCACTGCACTCTAGCCTGGGTGACAGAGCGAGATATTGTCTCAAAAGAAGAAGAAAAAAAGGAAGTTTAAGGTCAATCACAATGAGTTAGAGAAGCGATCTCATAATCCTTAGGACCCTGCTTCTGGACTGTGGCTTCTCACCCTACCCCAGCCCCTGTTGGGATTTCCCAGGACCATATTCTCTTTCTACCCTTTTCCTCATTGGTCTCCTCCACTCTGGTGGCTGAGGATACCTCCTAGTTGCTCCAACAGCCTCTCCTAGAAATGACCATCATTAAAGCAGTATCTGCAAGACCTGCCATGTCTTTCTTTTTCTGTCATCTTAATTTATTCTAGAATTGTGCTTACTGTTTTTTTACATTATTTAAAAGCCGCTTCCTAGAATTGTTTTATTTTATTAGGTAATCTTTAAACTCCCTTTTCTCCATTTTTTAATAATTTGCTATATTGGCAGATGCTGTTCAAGTCAGTAGAAGAACCATTTCTTTGAATTCCTTCTCACCAGAAGTATTTGTGCTGCCTGTTGATGTAGAAAAGGTGAGTACTATCTTCTTTCTTTTTAACCGTAGAGTCTTAATCCTTTAGATAATGTTGTTCTGATTTAATCTGGAAACTTCAATTTGATGAAGCATTATAAATAGGTTTCCTTTCAGCATTTCATTGATAGAGACTGCTAGAAACACTAAGCTAAGAAGGGTTCCAAGGCAGTGCCTGTGCTCAGCTGGAAAGTTTTCTGTGATTGATAAATGATGTCTGGCTTAGGCTTCCCCCAGCCTAAGGTTTTGTATAACAAGAAATCCAACTTGAGTTGTCTGTTGATTACAGTAAGCCAAATGTACGGCTCTGGACAATGTGTGCTATAAGTCATAGAGTGACCTATGACAACTCAGTTAAATAAATATTTATATTGATATGCATTAATTCCACTTAAATAGAATGCCTTGATTTTTCAAATCTCATCTACCCTCTATGAAAAAAAGTTGATTATGCGTGTATTTTAATTGATTTCTTTTTCTGCAGGAAAATGCCCACTTTCATGTTGCAGATATGATTATATCAGCAATGGAGAAAATGAAGTGTAACATTCTGAGTCAACAGCAGACAGAGAACTGGAGTAAAGAAGAAGCCAGTGGGTTACTTGGGAGTGATCAGCCTGACTCTGACGTGACTTTTGATACCAACATAAAGCAAGAGTCTGGGTCTTCCACTTCTTCATACAGTGGCTATGAAGGCAAGTTGGGCAAATACGAGAAAGCTGTATGTCATGTGTTTCACGTACATTTCCTCTGTAATTCCCCTTTATCCACGGGGCATATATTCCAAGACCCCCAGTGGAAGCCTGAAACCTCAAATAGTACCAAACCCTACATACACTACTTTTTTTTTTGTTCTTGTAACCAAGAGGGTTACTAAGTGACTAGTGGGTGAGTAGTATATACAGTGTGGTATGCTGGACAAAGGATGATTCATGTTCCAGAGGGGACATGGCAAGACGGTGTAGGACTTCATCATCCTACTCAGGGTGGTGCACAGTTTAAAACTTAAGAATTGTTCATTTCTGCAACTTTTCATTGAATATTTTTGGATCACTTGACTCTAGGTGACTAAAACCACGGGAAGCGAAACTGCAGATAAAGGAGGACACATGTATGTCTTTAAATCCTTTGTCTAAAAATGTCTTGAGTAACCTCTGTAATCCTCACCATTTCTGCTGTCTTGGGTCAGGATTGGTTATCATGCTCCATTCAGTTGTCAAATCCTATGGGTTTTTTTTGTTGTTGTTGTTTTTGTTTTGTTTTTTTTTTTTTTTTTTTTTTTGGAGACGGAGTCTCGCTCTGTTGCCCAGGCTGGAGTGCAGTGGCCGGATCTCAGCTCACTGCAAGCTCCGCCTCCCAGGTCTACGCCCTTCTCCTGCCTCAGCCTCCCGAGTAGCTGGGACTACAGGCGCCCGCCACCTCGCCCGGCTAGAGTTTTGTACTTTTTAGTAGAGACGGGGTTTCACCGTGTTAGCCAGGATGGTCTCGATCTCCCGACCTCGTGATCCGCCCGTCTCGGCCTCCCAAAGTGCTGGGATTACAGGCTTGAGCCACCGCGCCCGGCCTGTTTTTTGTTTTAATCTTGGACTTCATCCTACTTTTCTTTTTCACTGGAAATAAAAGTGGCTGATGTCTCCTCTTCCTTTGTTTTCTGTCACATGGCATTCTCCTGGCCCTTCTTACACCATCTTTCCTTTTCCAACGAGTCTTCTTTTTCATCGTTCAGTAATGAGCCTGTGTCATGCTAGGTGCTGAGCATCAGCAGTACACAGGGTGTGCTCCTTCCATCAAGGAGCCTGCATGCTAGAGCATGGGACCGGGAAGCCCTGTGGGGTAACTTGTAGAACAGAGGCGAGGACCCAGCACAGTGCATCACCGTCACTGAGGAGGAACGGCTCGGCTCACTCTAGGACCCAGGGGTTCTTCCCCGAGGGACAAGTGCCTAAGCTATTAGCTCATGTTAGGGTTTGCTACTTTCTTACCATTTCCTAAGTCCTGCCTCCAGTCCTATATTCTTTTTTTAAATCTGTATTTGCTTCCTGGCATATTTAACCTACTATACACCTTCAATGATCACCTTCAATTATTCCTTCTCAGCTATTATCTCCCAAATCTATGTTTTCAGTCCTGGACATCTCTTCTAAGTGCTTGCTGTCTATGGCTGGAGCCTTGTCCGTCTGGCTGACCCCGCAGGACCTCTGACTTAATACTTCATTTCTGGGTGACTTAAAATGCTTCATTTTATTCATTGTTCATATATGTTCACTGCAACATAAAGGTGGGCATAGTTAACCTATAACTTAATATGTCTAAACTAGTCATTTCTCCATCACTCCCTCACAATCCTCTTCCTTCCAAAGAAAACCACTAAAGCTTGCTTTTCTTCTTGACTTCCTTTGCTACACGTTAATCAGGAATATTCAATAACAGAGGAAGAACTCACTCCATATGTTGTGTAGCACAATGCCTGGCCCAGAATAGGTGTACGATCAAATGCCTGTTGAATGCACTAACTGGCTCAAATTAAAAGGGTTGTTTTGTCGTAAGATACAGAACATTCTCACTGAACCCAGTCGTGGGAAATATATCTGGAACATATATGACCAGTATAGACATAGCTCCAGTGTCTATCTTTTCGCGGACTTTAAGCCTCTCACCTCTTCTTTTTCTAGCAATTGCTTCATTCTTTTTCTGTAGCCTACCTACTTCTACCCACCCCTGGCATCTAGTTTCAGCTCTGTAGTCTTCCTGACTACTCAGCCAGGTCCTCACAGCTCAACAACTCAGTTTTGCAGGACCCTCAATGCAGATCCCAGGGCAGAGCACCTGATGGGCCTTGCCTTGGTTGGATGTCCATGACTGGTTGGTCCGATGCAGCCAGAGGGCTGGAGGAATGTCATATGGACGATCATGCCTTCTGAGGCTACCAGTAGGGAGAAAATGAATATGGGTGGAGAAGTAATTCTTGTTTTAGTACACTGGGCTCCATCTTGGACTCTTTCTTCTTCCTTGGTCTTGTGCTCCTGTCCCGTTTCTAGTTAGTGAACAAATCAATCCTGACTTCTCAGTCATAATCACTTCTCTTCCATCCATTTCCTGTTTCTATCCCTTACCTGGCCCGCTGCAGTAGCCTTCTGGCTAGTCATTTTGTAAGAACTACAATTTAGTTCTTCAATACTGATTTGGTTTAATTTTCCCTCTTTCCTTTCAACTTGTTTCCCCTAGTTTATCCTGCACTTATCTGTCTTCCTGGATCACAACTTCTTGTCCTCTATAATGGCTTGCCGACTTTGTGCCACATTTTATTCTGGAATTTTTAGTCTTGTGGCATCTGGCTGCTTCTTGCCTTTTAAACAGGAATCTCCTGCCATTCCCCTTGGCCGGATGGTGAGCTGTAGTTGAACTAGACTGTGTATAGTTGCTGGCAGACATGTCCCCCCATGGCTTTGGGAAGGATGTCCTGAAATGTGGGTTCCCCCAGTAACCACACATCAGGTCTTTCATCCTTCCCATCCTTCAGAAGCAATCTCCTGCCACTGTCACTGTGACATGCTCCCTGGTTTGTATCCCAGTGGAGGGGCACCATCCATGTGGAATGAAACACAGGTTGTGCTCCAGAATGCTCCAGTGCCATCTGCATGCATGGCTTTCCCTGGACTTGTGTAGTGCAGAGCCCTGCCTCAGAACTTCTCAAGGCCCATGCAATGCAACTGTGTTGTGTGTGTGTGTGTGTGGTTTAGGTCTGTTAGTATATCAGCTCCCTCATGGGATTTTTTTTCTTTTTTTGAGTTGGAGTCTTGCTCTGTTGCCCAGGCTGGAGTGGAGTGGTGTGATCTTGGCTCATGGCAACCTGCACCTCCCACATTCAAACCATTCTTCTGCCTCAGCCCCCCAAATAGCTGGGATTACAGGCACACACCATCACACCCAGCTGATTTTTGTATTTTTAGTAGAGACAAGCTTTCACCATGTTGGCCAGGCTGGTCTCGAACTCCTGACCTCAGGTGATCCACTTGCCTCGGCCTCCCAAAGTGCTGGGATTACAGGCGCGAGCCACCGCATCCAGCCCTTCGTGAGATTTTAAACTCTTAGATGGACGAGAAATTGTCTTGTTCGTATTTGTGTTTAGTATAATGCCTTGTCTGAAATAGGTATTTTTATAAATAGTGGTTGGGTAGAAATTGATGGTAGCTGAAACTTTAAGAAAATGTGAATAAATATGAATATGTTAAATGAAAATTAAGAACATTTCTATCCTCCAAATATAAATATTTATCTTGTATTAAGTATTTCTCTTGTGACATTTGTGGCAATAGATGTTCCTCCATGAGGTGGGTTGGTATTACTCAAACTGTCAGTTGGTCCTGAGAACATTAAAAAAGAAACAAACAAGAGTAGAAAGTATCAGAGTGCATCTTGCTGAGGGTGAGCAATGTTTCCCGAAAGTTTTTTGTTTTTTTAATCAGTTAAACATATTATTGTGTCTGTACTAAGTCACAATGTGAATTGTATGTTACTATGGGTGATGGGCAAAAGACAGTGAAAAACACAGATGGGCACTCTTACCCCCATTCTGCCCATGAGGAAACTGCAGCTGGAAGCAGTGGTTGTCCATAGTCACCCAGCTAGAATGGGTTCTTAAAGTCAGCCAGCCTACTGCAAAACCCTTCATATAACTTCTTTTTTTTTTTTTTTTTGAGACGGAGTCTCTCTCTGTCGCCTAGGCTGGAATGCAGTGGCGCAGTCTCAGCTCACTGCAACCTCTGCCTCCCAGGTTCAAGCGATTCTGCAGCCTCAGCCTTCTGAGTAGCTGGGACTACAGGTACCTGTAAACACGCCTGGCTAATTTTTTTTTTGTATTTTTAGTACAGACGGGATTTCACCATGTTGGCCAGGCTGGTCTCAAGAAACCTGCAGGCACAGCTACAGGTTTCTGTGATATCATTAAAATCTCCAAGCTCTGTGGGAAAATAAAAGAAAGAGTGGTGAGGTTGTTTAGTCTGTTTCATTTCATCGCAGTCCATTTTATAAGAACACTAAAATCACTCTCTGCATCTCAGAAAGAGCAAATTATTGATCCACCTGCCTCAGCCTCCCAAAGTGCTGGAATTACAGGCGTGAGCCCCCATGCCCAGCCCACATAACTTCTATGTAAACTATGGGCTAGACTATTTCCCTAAACAACTGTATTCATTTTTCTGTGTTTCTCTCCTATGTTTATTCAAATGAAGACAGTTTTACAAATTTATATTTACAATGATTATATAATTATATTAACAATACAATTAATCATAATATAATGATTATTAATGCTATTATCAGTATTAATAGTATTAATGCTATTCATACTAATAGTATTAATAATCATGTTGCTTTAGTTTTCACATTTTTTTTTTTTTGAGACAGGGTCTTACTCTGTCACCTAGGCTGGACTGCAGTGGCATGATCTCAGCACACTGCAATCTCCGCCTTGCAGGCTCAAGTGATTCTCCCACCTCAGTCTTTCGAGCAGCTGGGACTACAGGCACAGGCCGGGCCACCACACTGGGCTAATTTTTTTGTATTTTTTGTAGAGACAGTGTTCTGCCACGTTGCCCAGGCTGGACTTGAACTCCTGGGCTCAAGTGATTCTCCTACCGCAGCTTCCTGAGTAGCTGGGACTACAAGAACACGCCACTGCCCCTGGCAGATTTACATTTTTAAATGATAGTATTTAATTGTGTGATTTGCAAAATCAATTTCCTATTATTAAACGTTTAGGTGCTTTCAGTGTTTTAATATTTTAAAACATTGGATGTACTGCAAATAGCTTCTTTGTGATGAAAGGCTTCTGAGTAGCTGGGATTACAGGCACTTAATCATAGTGAATGCAAAAAGCACACACAAACAGTTCCCTAATTTTTTAATTCTTTAAGTTGAAGTGTTTAATTCTCTTAAACTTTTAGCCCTCTTCATTTCCCAGTTTCTATTTAGTTGGGTGTTGCAGGTTGCACAGTTTTTCTTCTTATTGGTAAAAACCTCCTTCCTTTCTTTGTCTAGGTTGTGCTGTGTTACAGGTCAGCCCAGTGACTGAAACACGTCCTTACCCTGATGTGAAAGAGATTTGCCAATGCGACATTGATGAATTTGTTATTTTAGGTAAGATTTGGAAACTACTTGGATGTGACTGGCTGCCTCCCCAATCCCATCCGCATACACATACTAACATACATCACACACAATACTATGCTACAGTGGCATTCGAATCAACTTCTTCCAAAATCAGATTATGTCCCTGATATATATACTTATATATTTATATATATTTTTTTATATATTTATATATATTTATATATATATATGGGTGTTCTTGTTTCAAATGTCTGGATAGCTAATCTTCCATCTCACTTGTAGAGTTGAATGAAAAAGCAGATATTCATTGTGGTCTGATATCTCCTTGGCCTCTCAGTTATATTTTGGCGAAATTTCAGATGAAATCCCATCTTTGATCATTATCTGTACTCTCATTATCTGTTCTGTCCATTTCTCAGAACCTGAAACATGGAGATGCTGAATAATTTGCTCTTTCTGAGATGCAGGGAGTGATTTTAGTATTCTTATAAAATGGACTGCGATGAAATGAAACAGACTAAATGACCTCACCACTCTTTCTTTTATTTTCCCACAGAGCTTGGAGATTTTAATGATATCACAGAAACCTGTAGCTGTTCCTGCAACTCCTCTAAGAGGTATCTGTCTTCCGTGCACAGTGCACATAGACCCTTGGGCTGTCACCTCTGAGGCAGTGTGAACACTAGGCCTCTGACATTCTGGGCCTACTTCAACTACTTCCAATAATTTGTTCCCACGAATCTAGGATATGAACACCTAGAATTGAAACAATCACCCCCGAAGTTTCTCTAGTGTTTTACAATATATAAAAGGCTTTTGTATGCATTTTCATTTAATCCTCATTTCAGTTAAACAGGCTGGGCGAATTTTGTATATGCATGTGTGTGTATATTTATGATTTTTGTTCTTGTTGTTTTTGAGACCGAGTTTTGCTCTCGTCACCCAGGGTAGAGTGCAATGGCCTGATCTCGGCTCACTGCAACCTCCACCTCCTGGATTCAGGCAATTCTTCTGCCTCAGCCTCCTGAATAGCTGGGATTACAGACGCCTGTCACCACACCTGGTTACTTTTTTTTTTGTATTTTTAGTAGAGACGTGTTTTCACTATGTTGACCAGGTTCATCTTGAACTCCTGACCTCAGGTGATCCGCCTGCCTCAGCCTCCCAAAGTTCTGGGATTACAGGCATGAGCCACCACACCCGACCATGTATTTATGAATTTTTAAAACTAATTTTATAGACATAAAAATTGAGACTCATACAGGATGTGCTTCAGGACGCGAAGGCTGTGAGGTAGAAGCAGGGCTCAAATGCAGGTCTTCTGACTCTAAAACCAGTGCTCCTTCACCACACCTCTAAGTCTTAGTGCCCTCAGTAAATAAAAGATGCTTTATTTATTGAACATGGAGGAGCTATGTTGAGTAAGATACCTGGTGAGTGATTGATGCATCATCTCATATGACAGCCTCTTCTGAGTTTTGGGGGCTGGGAAGAACAGTTGAAAACCTCAGGAAGACCCTGAACATACTCCTCATGAATATAATTTCCTGGTTTTTGCATCTCTTACATTTCAGTGTCACTTATGAGCCAGAGTTCAATTCTGCTGAACTATTAGCCAAAGAGCTGTACCGCGTGTTCCGGAAGTGCTGGATGCTGTCACTAGTTAATTCTCAGCTGGCAGGTTCCCTGAGTGCAGCTGGCTCAATAGTAAGTATCAAAAAAAATTGACCTTGGGCCGGGCGCGGTGGCTCACGCCTGTAATCCCAGCACTTTGGGAGGCCGAGGCGGGCGGATCACAAGGTCAGGAGATCGAGACCACGGTGAAACCCTGTCTCTACTAAAAATACAAAAAATTAGCCGGGCGCGGTTGTGGGCGCCTGTAGTCCCAGCTACTCAGGAGGCTGAGGCAGGAGAATGGCGTGAACCCGGGAGGCGGAGCTTGCAGTGAGCCGAGATCGCGCCACTGCACTCCATCCTGGGCGACAGAGCGAGACTCCGTCTCAAAAAAAAATTGACCTTGAATTGAAAGTTCCTAAATCCTCATTTTGCCTGCCCTGTTCAGTTTAAACATTTGTGTTTCCTTGTACGGTCATTGGATATTAGGGGAGACTCAAAATGAATGAGGAAACTGGCATGTATTGAGTACTTATTGTGCACCAGAGACTGCTCAGCAGTCCACATTATTTTATTTTATTTATAATTTTTTTTGAGATGGATTCTTGCTCTGTCACTCAGGCTGGAGTGCAGTGGCGTGATCTCAGCTCACTGCAACCTCCGCCTCCTGGGTTCAAGCGATTTTCCTGCCTCAGCCTCCCAAGTAGCTGGGACTATAGGTGCCTGCTACCATGCCCAGCTAACTTTTTGTATTTTTAGTAGAGACAGGGTTTCACCATGCTGACCAGGCTGGTTTCCAACACCTTACCTCAAGTGATCTGCCCACCTTGGCCTCTCAAAGAGCTAGGATTATAGGCCTGAGCCACTATGCCCAGCCAGCAGTCCACATTTTAATCCTCATAAGTATCCTATTAGGTAGAGGCTGTCCTTATTTTTATTTTTAAGTGCTGGGCCCAGTCTCCCAGCAGGGCTGGTCAGCCGTGAAGCAGGAGTCATGACCAGGCTGCCTCACTGGAAAGTACATGTTGGTTCCCTCATGGAACACACTGCTCACTGCTGTCAGAGAGCAGCCAGCCTTCTCGGGGTGGAGAATATTATGACAAAGGCTAAAATAGGGGTAGGGAAGATGCCCTCGAAGTGCAGAGGAGGGCGTGTTTAATTTTACTGGGGGAACGTAGGAAGGCTGATCGCAGATTTCAGAACTTGAGCTAAGTATTGGGCTGGCCAGAACTGTGGCAGGTAGAAAGGTTGGGGGAGGACATTCTTGGCAAAGGGGAGCTGCAGCAAAAGCAGAGGGGCATGCTATGCTCTTGAGCAGAGTGATTTGGCGCAGTTGGATAATACCCGTTTGTGACTATTTGTGTGCGAGAGGTTGTTCTTTATGGAAATAAGGTTTGAATGATGGTAGCCAAATTGCGGAGGATGTAGAATGCTAATTTGAGAAGTTTGGATTTAATTAAATTAATTAATTAATTAATTTTTTGAGGTGGAGTCTCACTCTGTTGCCCAGGCTGGAGTGCAGTGGCACAAGCTCGGCTCACTGCAACCTCCACCTCCAGGGTTCAAGCAATTTCTGGCTAACTTTTGTATTTTTAGTAGAGATGGGTTTTCACTGTGTTGGCCAGGCTGGTCTCGAACTCCTAACCTCAAGTGATCCGCCCATCTTGGTCTCCCAAAGTGGTAGACTTACAGGCGTGAGCCACTGCACCGGCTGAGAAGTTTGGATTTTAAATGACAGTAGGAAGGTCCAGTGGTTTGGGGGGAGGCACTGAACATTTATAAGCAAGGAGAATGGTCTTAATAGAGCTGTTTCTGGGGAAGACTAATAATGATAGGGGTTCTGATTGGTAGCATTTGTCAGTCTGTTGACTAAGAGGGGTAAGACTTCTGCTATTCATAAATGCATTCCAGGTCAAAATGACCTACTTACAGTAAATTTGAAGTCTGGAAATAAATGAACTAAAAATACTAAGAAAAGTGATCTCATCTGGGTGGTGTTTAAAGCAATTCTTTTGCAGATGGCTTTAGAGATGTGGAGGGCTCTTGGTATGTCCTTTAGTTCAGTTAAAAGCACTATTAATTTTTCGTGGTAAATTTTACTGTTGGAAATACATTTAGATGTTCCTTTAATTTAAATTCTTTGAAATATGCTTAAGTTGTTCCTAAATCATTTTATGTCTTATGCAGGTTGTAAATGAAGAGCGTGTCCGAAAAAACTTTGAATCCAGTATGAATGTTGTACAGGAAATTAAATTTAAGTCTAGGATCAGAGGGACTGAAGACTGGGCTCCTCCTAGATTTCAAATCATATTTAATATTCATCCACCACTCAAGTAAGTATGGGCTGCTGCTTGGGCCTCCAATCCATTTAAATCACATTGTAACAGATCCCACCTGACGCTCTATGGCAGTAGGTGAAAAAAATACATATGCTAAAGAACACAGGAAAATTTGTTTTAGGGAAAGGGAAGTTGGCTGTATTTTCTGGGTTAGGTTTTTTTTTTTTTCCTCTTGTTTACCATGGACTTTTGGGGCCTCTATAAGTTTTCACAAGTTGAGAATTCAACTATGCAAGCCTAATGTAAATATTACATAGCAACTCACAATTAAATAGGCTTAAAGGAGATTTTTTAAAGTGGCTAATATCAAAACTTAAAAATTATATACAATAATTTTTTTTAAATTTGTTTCCTTTTTGAAAAAGTTAGAGATGGGGTTTCACCATGTTGCCCAGGCTGGTGTTGGACTCCTGGGCTCAAGTGATCCACCCACCTCAGCCTCCCAAAGTGCTGGAATTACAGGTGTGAGCCACCTTGCCCAGCCTATGATAATTTTAAAAGACTGGACCTCTTTATCTTCCAGAACAATCAGTGTGAAATAAAAATGAATGAATAAACTTCTAAAAAAGGAACATTTAATCTCAGGGAAAGCACTTATAGTTAAAAAATGTTACAGAGACCAGGCAGTGGCCTCCCAAGTAGCTGGGACCACAGGCGTCCACCAGCACGCCTGGCTAATTTTGTGTATTTTTAGTAAAGACGGAGTTTCACCGTGTTAGCCAGGATGGTCTAGATCTCCTGACCTCATGATCTGCCTGCCTTGGCCTCCCAAAGTGCTGGGATTACAGGCATGAGCCACTGCGCCCGGCCTAGCAGAAGCTTTTAAAGAGATGTAGCTTTAAGGATGGGCACAGTGGCTCATACCTGTAATTCCAGTACTTTGGGAGGCTGAAGTAGGAGGATGACTTGAGGCCAGGAGTTCGAGACCAGCGTGGGCAACATATAGAGACCCTATCTCTACAAAAATAAATAAATAAATAAATAAAGCCAAAAAAAAGCTAGCTGGGGTTGGTGGCGTGTACCTATAGTCCTAGCTGTCTACACAGGAGGCTGAGGAGTACTTGAGCCAAGTCGAGGAGTTTGAGGCAGTAGTGAACTATGATCATGCCAGTGCCCTCCAGCCTGTGTGACAGAGCAAGACCCTGTCTCAGGAAAAAAAAATAAAAATTAGTTGTAGTTTTAAAAGACCCAGAGATTTCAACTAGAAATTGTATTTAATAAATCTATTTCTTTCCCAAATGAAAGGTGACAAAGTTAAGGCCCTTAGTTGAGAAAAGTGTCACGATGGCAATTTCTTTTCTAATTAGTGAAAAATATTCCATTGACCTTCTCTGAAATGTAACTAGTATCATTTTTTGTATTCAGGAGGGACCTTGTGGTAGCAGCCCAGAATTTTTTCTGTGCCGGCTGTGGAACTCCAATAGAGCCTAGTAAGTATGGATAATGGATCACCTGCTTATTATGTGATAGCAAGGTCAAGAATAGCAAAGTAGGGCAGTGCATTGCTTGTGTGAGAGACGCCTTTGATGAGAAGTTGTTATAAGAGCTTCACAGAAGTTGCCCTCTGTTTCATGAGGAGGCCATCATGACTGACAAGGCTGTGTGACCAACTAGGACCGAGGACACCAGGACCAGCCTCCTAGTTCTCTCCCTGTTGGGCAAAAGCTCCAACCACGTGGCCTCCTGCTGCCCCTTGAAAATGCCAGGCTCACTTCTGACATATTTGCATTTGTGGTTTTCTCTCCCCCAAATACTCTCCCCGCAGACACCCCCATGACTAATTCCTTTGCTTCTTTCACATTTTCACTCCAAAGTCATGAGGTCTTCCCTTGCTGCTCTATCTAAAATGCCTGTCTTGCCCCACTGCTGGTCACAAACAATCCCATGTACACTTTATATTACCCATCCTTATTTTTTTTCTTTATTTTCTTGCATAATATTTTCTTAGAAGCTCCTTCTTTTTATTCTTAGCACAGTCTTTCTAAAATAGTCTCTTATATGTTACTAATATGTCTTCTTATTATCTGTCTTCAACACTAGATTGTAAGTTCTGTGAGGCCAAATGTATTGTCTGTTATATTTATTACTTTAGTCCCAGCTTCTAGAAGAGTGCCTGGCATGTAGTAGGTCCTCGAAAGATATGTGTTGAGTAAAGGTATGACTTACCAAGGAGCTAGCCAAACTTCTCTGAGAGAATTTGAGGAGGTAGCCTGAGAGGATCATTCCTGGGCCAACTGAGGCCTGGAAGATTAGACTTTCCTGGGCCAGGCACGGTGTCTCCCACCTGTAATCCCAGCACTTTGGGAGGCCGAGGTGGGCAGATCACCTGAGGTCAGGAGTTTGAGACCAGCCTGGCCAACATGGTGAAACCACATCTCTACTAAAAATACAAAAAAAAAAAAAAAAAAAAAAATAGGCAGGCATGGTGGCAGTCACCTGTAATCCCAGCTACTCGGGAGGCTGAGACAGGAGAATTCCTTGAACCCAGGAGGCAGAAGTTGCAGTGAGTCAAGATCGCACTATTGCACTCCAGCCTGTGCGACAAAGTGAGACTCTGTCTCAAAAAAAAAAAAAAAAAAAAAAAAAGGGCTCAGGCTTTCCTCAGTCAGAAATGCAAGTTGACCCCTTGAGACTGGGAATCACTTGTTTTGCTCTGATGGTACCTGTATGTCTGACCTGCAAAAGGCTGGAAAGAGGAGCCTTATGGCATGAGTTCCCTTAGCCTTTGATAGTCAGTATTTGAAGGAAAGAGACTATGAGGAGCTCCTACTTCAAGAGATAAAAATAGGAAGCAGGAATCAATCTAGGCTTCCTCTCCCACACTGGATGATAATGCCTGACGGGCATCACCGTTGTTGCTGATTTTCTTTGAATGAGTCATTTTCCCAGCACATCTAGTGGGGAACATGTCTCTTTGGTTAACCACTACGTCCTGGCACTTCCATAAATACCTAATGCATGAGTCAGAAACTGTACACATATGACTATCATTCCACCAACTTTTTGTTATTTCCCTAAGCTTGTTCAGGTATGGAGGTGTGTGTCTGCACTTTTGTACGTTGGCCTTGCCCCCAGAGAGCTTGCTTATCTTTTAGGGAAGATACAACATCAGCCAAGTAAGTATATGTAACAAAAGAGTCAAGAGTGCTGTGGGATTTACAGCAGGGGAACTTCGTCTGAGCTTGAGAAGCTGGGAGTAAGAGGTTTCATCAGAAACTGATTGTCCACAGAAGTAGGGGTGTTTGTCATGTGCAAAGGGCCTGTGGCAAGTAAAAGAAACCCTGTGTGAGCAGAGAGTAAGAATAGGAGGAGAGAACATGCCACAGAGGTAGGCAGAGCACAGATTGCAGACAGCATAGAAATAATTTTGGGCTTTTCCCGTTAACTTCCTCTAGCTTCTAGGATAAATTTTTTTTAACTTGCGACTTTGAGTTAATTTTAGACTTAGAGAAGAGTTGCAAAAATAGTAGAGAGAGTTCCTGTACACCCTTCACCCAGCTTCCTCTACTGCTAACATCTTACATAATCATAGTATAATTATTCAACCTGAGAAATTAGCATTGGGTACAGTCCTATTAATGAAACCCCAGGCTTTATTCAGATTTCACCAGGTTTTCAACAACATCCTTTATCTGTTTCAGAATCCAATTCAGAATTCCATGTTGAATTTAGTTGTCATGTTTTCCTTAGTCTCCCTCAATTTCCACACACCGAACATGAGATTTTACCCTTTACTAGTTCAGTATGGCCCAACAATAAGGATAATAAACAAGTTATCACACCAAAAAAATTAAAACAATTCTCTATATTGTCTACTTCCTAGTCCTTGTTGTTCTTAAGGTATCATTTATGGCAATTTTTTCCATCTAGGTTGCAATCAAGTTTCACACATCACATTTAGTCATTGTTTCTCTTTAGTTAGCTTTGTTCTACTATGCAGTATGGTAGCCACTAGCCCATGTGGCTATTTAAAATTAAATTTAAATTAATTGAAATTAAGAATTCAGTTCCTCAGTCACACTAACTACATTTCAAGTACTCAATAGCCACATGTAACTCATGGCTACTGTATTGAACAGCACAGATATAGAATATTTTCATCCTCATGGAAAGTTATAGTGGACATCTCTGTCGTAGAATATTTCCCTTCCACCTTACCCCCTGACGCTGACTTTTCATAAAATGAGAACAATTGTGTTTTAGAGCAGGATTTCTCAACTTCAGTACCATGGACTTTGTCGTGGGCGGTGTCCTGTGCACTATAGGATGTTTAGCAGCATCATTAGCTGCCAGAAGCATCTCCCAGTGGCAACTGAAAATGGCTTCAGACATTTGCAAATGTCCCTTGGGAAGCAAAAATCACCCTTGGGCAAGAACCCCTGGTTTAGGTCATTTTGTATTGTTCTCTTTTAGTTAAAGGACTTAGGAAACTAAAAAAGATGGGCATTAGTGTATTCTGTATTGATAGTATAACAGCATGTATTCAATAAAGTTTAATGAATGAGTGAATGGATATTGAGTGTGTGTTGAGGAGTAGATGAAACTGTTTCTACCAGAAGCTCACAGGTGCCTAACCCTGAATTTCCCCCAGGAGCAGTGGTTCAGTATTGACTAATTCAGTGTTCATGGCAACTCTGTAGAACATAACTATAATGAATAACAAAAAACAACTCTATTTGTTTGCTTGTAAACATCAACTGAGTGTGACCTGGGTCTGAGGGACAATTTGGGCGTGTGCAAAGGCATTAGCTCCCTCTCCCTTTCCCTCCATCGAATGCAGCAGAGGAGGAGTGGGACATGGTGGCTGTGGGCTGGAGCTTTGGCAGTCTGGGCTTGGGTTGGAATCCTGCGTGGCTACATACTGTTCGTGTGTCCCTACCTGTTGCCTAACTTCAGTGTCTTGTGCTTTCATCAATGAAATAGGGGAAATAACTGTCCCTTCTCACAGACTTTCGAGCACAGAATGACATAGTAAACATAAAACATTTAACAGATCTGTGGCACAGAGTAAGTATTCAGTAAGATTCCTTTCTCTGGTCACTCCCAGCCAGGCCCTGTTTTTTTTTTTATTTTTATTTTTTTGAGATGGAGTTTCACTCTTGTTGCCCACCCAGGCTGGAGTGCAATGGCACAATCTCGGGTCACTGCAACCTCCACCTCCTGGGTTCAAGCAATTCTCCTGCCTCAGCCTCCCAAGTAGCAGGGATTACAAGCATGCACCACCACTCTAGTCTAATTTTGTATTTATAGTAGAGACGGGGTTTCTCCATGTTGGTCAAGCTGGTCTCGAATTTATGACCTCAGATGATCCACCTGCCTTGGCCTCCCAAAGTGCTGGGATTACAGGCATGAGCCACCATGCCCAGCCAGGCCTTGTTTATTTTTAAAGCTGTTATTTGGAAATGATCTTCAGAATCTGCAGTGTACGGGTTCTACAGCAACTGCTTTCCCATTCATGATTTCACTAATCCTCCCAATATATGGCAACTAAGATTTGTGTTATGCTGTATGATATTTCAATTACAAAGACATACATGACTGAAACTATGAATGATAAATATCAAACTTGGTTCATGTCAGAACCTAGTGTTGAGGGAGGGGCACTTAGGAGACTTCAACTGACCTGTTTTCTTTCTGAAGCTGGGTGGTGAGCGCACAGGTATTTGTCACATTCGTTTCTATACCTTTTGTTTGTTAGTGTATTTTATTAGAGACATTTCAAAAAGTGGTCTGTGAGTGTTTATTTTAGTAGGTTAAAAAGTGCGCTGGGCGTGGTGGCTCACACCTGTAATCCCAGCACTTCAGGAGGCCAAGACGGGCGGATCACTTGAGGTCAGGAGTTTGAGACCAGCCTGGCCAACATGGTGAAACCCCATCTCTACTGAAAATACAAAAATTAGCTGGGCATGGTGGCGTGCCCTGTAGTCCCAGCTACTAGGGAGGCTGAGGCAGGAGAATCGCTTGAACCCAGGAGGGAGAGGTTGCAGTGAACCGAGATCATGCCACTGCACTCCAGCCTGGGCAACAGAGCGAGACTCCTTCTCAAAAAAAAAAAAAAAAAAAAAAAAAAAAGAAGTATAAAGAGCCAAAATTCCTTCTTTCCCCTTCCCTCCAGAAATAGTCACTGTTGGCTTTTTGGTGGAGATCTAGACAGTGCATATGTGTTTATGTGTATGTTTATATATATGTTCTTAAATAAAATTGAGATCACATTGTACCTACTTGTAACTGGATGTCCACTTCCCATCCTCTTCCATGTACTTTTTTTTTTTTTTTTTTTTGAGACAGAGTCTCGCTTAGTCGCCCAGGCTGGAGTGCAATGGCGCGATCTCGGCTCACTGCAAGCTCCGCCTCCCGGGTTCACGCCATTCTCCTGCCTCAGCCTCACGGGGTTTCACCGTGTTAGCCGGGATGGTCTCGATCTCCTGACCTCGTGATCCGCCTGCCTCGGCCTCCCAAAGTGCTGGGATTACAGGCGTGAGCCACCGTGCCCGGCCTCTTCCATGTACTTTATGGGCTGTACGGCATTTCACGTTGAGTGCACCACACTTAATCAATTGCCTTTTGATGAACATTTTGGTTGCCACCCCCATTATAAATGTGCTGTAATGAATATCTTTTTATGTCACTGTGTGTACCTGTTAGCACTTCTGTCTGATGGAGTCACAGAAGCAGGATTACTGTTGTACATGTAAGAATTGAAGTCTATCACAAAAATGTCTTCCTATAAATTAGTTCTATCAGTGCTAGACGTAAGTGCCCTCCTCTAGATACTGCACCAGTTCTGGGTCTTCTAAATTTATGACAGGCTGAGTCAAAACAGAGTATCTCACTTTTCTTTTCTTTCATTTCATTTCAATTTCATTTTATTATTTGTCATCAGTTTGTGACAGGATCTTACTCTGTTGCCCAGGCTGGAATGCAGTGGCTTGATGATGGCTTACTGTAGCCTCCACCTTCAAGCGATCCTCCTGCCTTAGCCTCTCAAGTAGCTAGGACTACACACCACATTGCCTGGCTAATTTTGTGTGTGTGTGTGTGTGTGTGTGTGTGTGTGTGTGTGTGTGTGAAGATGGGGTCCCACTATGTTGCCCACGCTGGTCTTGAACTCCTGGGCTCAAGTGATCCTCCCGTCTTGGCCTCCCAAAGTGCTGGGATTACCGGTACAAGCCACTGTACTCAGCCTCACTTTTAAAATATGCATTTCTTTGTTTCTGAGATTGTTTTTCTCTGTTAGTTATCTGCATTTCTTCTTTCCATGAATTACCTATTCCCATCCTTTGTGCATTTTTGTGTTTTTTTCTCATTGATTTATCAAGGGATCTTTATGACGCTGCTTCCTAACATTGTATATATACTGCTTCACAATTTATAAAGCACTTTTCATATGTGTAATATCACTCAATCCAGTTCTGAGTCACATTCTGTGGTCTCAGAACAGTTAGCCTAAAGAGATTACAACCCGCCTTCAGTCTTCCTGCTCATGAGAGGAGTCTGGACTCCCACCCAGATTTCCAGATCCTAAAATGAATGTTCCTTTTGCTACACTGCAGTTTGCAATTTCCATCTTCCAAATCCAGGAGTATTTTGGGAAGGTTTTGTTTTTCCGACATCTGTTCCACAAGAGCAGAGCTCATGAATGGCCGTGATTTGATTCCCCGAGTCTCTGCCAGAGCCTTCCCAGCTGTCGTGAGGTTGAGTATGGCTTTATCATCATGAAACACGTCATCAGAGTCTTTGCATCTTGCATAGGAATTGGAAGTCGGGGGTAGACCAGGATAGGTTTTCAGCACCAGGTGCAGCACTCACCCTCTGGTATGCTTGGCAGAGTTTGTGAAGCGGCTCCGGTACTGCGAATACCTAGGGAAGTATTTCTGTGACTGCTGCCACTCATATGCAGAGTCCTGCATCCCTGCCCGAATCCTGATGATGTGGGACTTCAAGAAGTACTACGTCAGCAATTTCTCCAAACGGCTGCTGGACAGCATATGGAACCAGCCCATTTTCAATTTGCTGAGCATTGGTCAAAGCCTGTATGCGAAAGCCAAGGAGCTGGGCAGAATGAAGGTGAGCCGCAGGCCCAACCCCATCCCTCTCATTGGAAGTGTCCTGTGGCAGGAAATGCACATCACACTAGCTTAGGGAACCCACAGATACATGCTCTAAGAGGCAAATGGATCATAAAGCGAGTGAAGCGGCTGGGTGTGGTGGCTCATGCCCGTAATCCTGGCACTTTGAGAGGCCAAAGTGGGCGGATTGCCTGAGGTCAGGAGTTCGAGGCCAGCCTGGCCAACATGGTGAAATCCCATCTCTACTAGAAATACAAAAAAAACAAAAAAAAAATTAGTCGGGTATAGTAGCACATGCCTGTAATCCCAGCTACTCAGGGAGGCTGAGGCAGGAGAATCACTTGAACCCAGGAGGCAGAGGTTGCAGTGAGCTGAGATTGCACTACTGCACTCCAGCCTGGGTGACAGAGCAAGACCCTGTCTCAAAAAAAAAAAAAAAAAAAAAAAAAGTGAAGCTTACACTTTGAAACCCCTCTCCTGCACAGGCTCTTTCCAGGACCCCACACTGAATCTTATACTTAGTATTATGTTTTTCTTGAAGAAGACCCCAAAGTTCTGTAAGTTTCAGGTTCCACAAAACCTGGATCCATCCAGGACACAATCTGTGGATCAGTGGACTCGGTTATGAAGCCTTGCTGTATAGGCTGTTTGCTTTCAAGGTTTGTTTTATACAAATGCAGCATTTCAAGGTTAGAAATATTTAAATTTGACTAGCACTTTTCCTGTGTCATTTATTACATTTAACTTTCCTTGTGTTTGATTTCTCCCATTAGGAAATTCAGGAACAGCTCTTCCATATCAAGAAGCTATTGAAGACCTGTAGGTTTGCCGACAGGTACTATTCTCAGCTGGGACAGGCTGCTTTCCCTCCATTCATCTGCTAATCCTATTAGTGCCTCCTGCATCTGGCTCCCCCATTACACAGGGCTTCTTAGCACAGTGATGACCTCATGTCTTTCCTTGGGAAATCAGCCGTCTCTTTGAATTACTAAGCCAATGGTGGAAAGCATTAGTCTGTTCTCAAGTAGCTAATAAAGACATACCAGAGACTGGGTAATTTATAAAGGAAGGAGGATTAATTGACTCACAGTTCCACATAGCTGGGGAGGCCTCACAATCATGGTGGAAGGTGAATGAGGAGCAAAAGCACGTCTTACATGGTGGCAGGCAAAGAGAGAGCATTTGCAGGGGAACTCTCTGTTATGAAGCCATCAGATAGGTCGGGCACGGTGGCTCATACCTGTAATCCCAGCACTTTGGGAGGCCGAGGTGGGTGGATCACGGGGTCAAGAGATCAAGACCATCCTGGCCAACATGGTGAAACCCCGTCTCTACTAAAATTACAAAAATTAGCTAGGCGTGGTGCCATGCCCCTGTAGTCCCAGCTACTCGGGAGACTGAGGTGGGAGAAATCGCTTGAACCTGGGAGGCAGAGGTTGCAGTGAGTCGAGATCGCACCACTGAACTCCAGCCTAGAGACAGAACGAGATTCCGTCTCAAAACAAAAAAAAGAAAAATCAGATATCGTGAGACTTATTCACTACCATGAGAACAACACAGGAAAGACGTGCCTCATGATTCAGTTACCTCCCACCGGGCTCCTTCCATGACACATGGGAATTAATGGGAGCTATAATTCAAAATGAGATTTGGGTGGGGACACAGCCTAACCATATAATGGAGAATTTAACTCATTAAGAATGGTTTAGCTGGAGGATGAAACAACTCTAGCCAGTGACCTTTTTATTATTATTATTGTCATCATTAAATTGTGGTAAATACATATAAAATTTACCATCTTAACCATTTTTAGCATATACTTTGGTGGCTTTAAAGTATTAACATCCTTATGCAATCATCACCACCATCCAGCCCCCAAACTCTTTTTCATCTTGCAAAACTAAAACTCATTTTTAACAACTCCCCAATTCCCTCTTCCTCCTAGCCTAACTCCTGGCAGCCACTATTCTACTTTCTGTCTCCATGATTTTACCCACTCACATGCCTTATATAAGTGGAATCTTACAGTATGTGTCTTTTTGTGACTGGTTTGTTTGACTTAGCATAACGTCCTCAAGGTTCATTCATGTTGTAACATGTCAGAATTTCCCTCCTTCTTAAGGTTGAGTAATATTTCATTGTATGTATATACATTTTTTTAATCCATCTATTCATCCATGGAAACTAGGGTTGCTTCTCCTCGGCTATTGTGAATAAGGGTGGATATGACCATGAGTATACCAGAGGCCTTTTAAAACCCCTTATAGGGAGGCGTGTCTAACCAAGTGGGACCATGGTCTTCAGAAATTCTACTTTTAGAAGTTTATCCTAAGGACATACTGATGGATATAGGCAGAGATTTAAAGTATAGTTTTTTTGTTTGTTTGTTTTTGTTTTTTTTAGACAGTCTCGCTCTGTCGCCCAGTCTAGCGTGCACTGGCACAATCTTGGCTCACTGCAACCTCTGCCTCCCAGGTTCAAGCCATTCTTGTGCCTCAGCCTGCCAAGTAGGTGGGATTACGGACATGTGCCATCACACCTGGCTAATTTTTGTATTTTCAGTAGAGACAGGATTTCACCATGTTGGGCAGGCTGGTCTTAAACTCCCAACCTCAGGTGAACTGTCTGCCTCAGCCTCCCAAAGTGCTGAAACTACTAGTTTTGTTTTTAAATAAGCAAAGGTATTAAAAGTCTATTAAGAGGTATTATGCTCTCTCCCTGGATGATGGGATCATTGGTACTCCAAACCTCAGTGTCATGCAGTATGCCTATGTAACAAACCTGCACACATACCCCCACATCTAAAATAATAGTTGAAATTATTTTAAAAATCTACTGGCGTTCATAATGGGGTAGTACCTACATTAATACCATGTCCATAGAATAGAATACTATGCAACCAGTAAAGATTTAGGCATGAATTCATTCAGAGAGAGATTTTTAAGTGGAAAAAGCATAGGTTACTCAAGGGAGTTAAGATTATTTATTGTAGTTGGTGAAATCATAGAGTTTTTAAATAAATGGTTTAGCTTAAAAGTGTTTTTTCAGTCTCTAATCTTTAATGATAATGTATTGCTTTTTAATTAAATTTGGGGGGAAGGAGCATGTATTCTTTTTTTTTTTTTTTTTTGAGACGGAGTCTCGCTCTGTTGCCCAGGCTGGAGTGCAGTGGCCGGATCTCAGCTCACTGCAAGCTCCGCCTCCCAAGTTCACGCCATTCTCCTGCCTCAGCCTCCCGAGTAGCTGGGACTACAGGCGCCTGCCACCTCGCCCAGCTAGTTTTTTTTTTTTGTATTTTTTAATAGAGATGGGGTTTCACCGTGTTAGCCAGGATGGTCTCGATCTCCTGACCTTGTGATCCGCCCGTCTCAGCCTCCCAAACTGCTGGAATTACAGGCTTGAGCCACCGCGCCCGGCCAGGAGCATGTGTTCTATAGTCATTTAGTTTTGAGCCTTTGCTTCATGGCCTTGGCATGGCATTGGTCTCAGGGCCTCAGTTCTTTCATCCACAACATGTAACAATACCTATACTTCCTACCTTGTGCAAAAATTATTGAATATCCATTCTGGACTTCAGATAAAAAAAATTGGTAGATCTGTGTTAAGTCCAGGGGGATGGTCAGCACAAACCAATCATTGCTGGACTGAGTGCTAGACATGTGTCAGCGCACCGTGAGGATACAAACAGAGGCAGCATTTAGCTCAGGAGTGAGGTGGGGTAGAGAGCAAGCAAGGATTCCAGGAGAAAAAGGCTGAGCTTAAGAGTAAGGTGGAGCAAAGAAGAGGGATTGGGGATTCTCCAGGCAGAGGATGCCGCAGGAGTGGGCACCGCAGGCTGGGTGGAGACTTGAAGAGAATTTGGCATTGTAGCATGCCAAGTCCAGTGTAGGCCGTGGCTGTTTTGGAAGTGCAGGGAATAGTGCTTCTGCTAGCCATTTAGAGAATTCAGGTCGACACCTGCTGGCTTTGGAGAAGATTAAGTTTTGAATGCTCTAGGGACCATGACCACTGGCCGTTGGCTGCGTGAGCCTTAAGCTCAGTGCCTGACTCGTGCATTGGAAGTCAGGCTTGCCGGGTGAGTGAGAATTCTCCCAGCTGAGCCGATAGACCATAAGGCTGATAGACTTGAAATGTAGCTGGAAGAAATAAGGTGGGAATTTTGATTACTTGGTAATCAAAGGGTACTAGGTACACCTTCTTTAAGACTTAACAAACTAATGCTCAGTTTTCTTTTGCTCCATGTGTGCCTGGGCAGGCTGTAAGAGATGTGTGTCTCTGCTTAGTCAGCTTCTTGAAATCAGCTTTCATGGAATTTTAACTTCCTGGCTTCCAAGCAAACTTGCAAAATGTAGAATGCTGGCGAGCATGGCTCACTGTTGTTCTTGGAGCTATTTGTTTTTTAAATTGAGTTAAAAAAAATTAAGCGTGAGTGCCAAGAGAAAACAACTGGCCTCATTCTTCCCCAGTCTCTGTGTGGGTGGGTTTCTGAATTCCTCTTTGTTTCCTCTCTGGCAGTGCATTAAAGGAGTTTGAGCAGGTGCCGGGACACTTGACTGATGAGCTCCACCTGTTCTCCCTTGAGGACCTGGTCAGGATCAAGAAAGGGCTGCTGGCACCCTTACTCAAGGACATTCTGAAAGCTTCCCTTGCACACGTGGCCGGCTGCGAGGTGAGGGTGCACCCGGGGCAGATTCGTTCCCGACGCACAGGGCATGTGCTGGCTGTTCCGCCCTTCATTTCACTCTCACAAACCCTGAGGGAAGTGCCAGTGACCTAGTTAGAGAAGAGAAAACTGAGGTCAGAGCCGTGAAGTAGCAGCTGAGATCGCCCTGCTGGTAAGTGGCAGAGCCGGGATGCAAGCCTGGACCAAGGGACTTCATCTAGGTGCCCAGTTCTGCTCAGGGCCCACTCTGCCCTGAAGCACCAAATACAGTCATGTGGAACCAGGATTCAATGGAACGGGAAGCTCTGTGTCTCCAAGGATTGAAGAACTGTAGGGCAGCAATGAGAAATGAAATTAGATCATCGCAGAGTGCATGTTTACAATTAGGCCCTTACCCTGGTACTTTAAAACTGCTTTGATGTGGAATTGGATGAACGTGTATTTTTTTCTTTTTTCTTTTGATTCTGATCCATTCGTTGCTGCAAAACACAACATCCTTTTCTTTCTAGAGGCTGGCATCATAGACATTCAAACACTAATGTTTATAAAGTTCTGTAATAGTGAAAACTCAGCTTCTCCATCAAGAGAAGGTTGTAACTTTTTGATGTCTTCTTTTACAGCTGTGTCAAGGAAAGGGCTTTATTTGTGAATTTTGCCAGAATACGACTGTCATCTTCCCATTTCAGACAGCAACATGTAGAAGATGTTCAGGTATCTTAATAACTTAATAGCATAAACTTAATAATAGCTTAACTAATTAACTAAACTAAGTTTAGTAACTTAAGCACAAAATTAACTTAAGCTGAATAATAGCTTAATAATTCAAGCACAGTTATTTAAAGTACAGTCATGCTGGTGTGTGCTTGTGTGTTGGATTGGAGATAATGAAGTTTTGGGCACAGAAGGAGGAGTATTTGGGTGGGGCAGGGATAAAGGATAAAGGTTTGGATAGAGGAAATGTTCCCTTTGTTGCCTATGCCCACCTCTCTGTCTTGTCATTAGATCAGTCATGCCCAGTGGTGACGTCTCTGACTGCTTTTGCACCACAGAGGCAGAGCTGAGTAGCTATTGTAGAGACCACGTGACCCACAAGGTCTAAAACATTTGCTATCTGGCTCTTTACAGAAAAGGTTGCCGACCCTTCTACGGTATTAGTGCCCGAGAGAATCCCGTGTTCTGTAAACTCTGTTTCATGGGAGAGATCCTGGTAATGCACTCTACCTTCACCCTTGATAGGGGCACATCCTCCTCTCAGGCCACTCCAGTGTTGTCTCCCCAACCCTTTAGGCAGTGTTGCAGGACTGGCTCCCCAGCAAGGAGACTCTGGGGCAGAGATTTGCCAGAAAAAGTTTCATGTTCCTCAACTTAATACCTGTGGCGGCGTGCAGGCAGCAAGACTGGGAGAGGGAGAAGTTGAACAGTGGTGAGGTTGCAGTGGAGCCCTCAGCTCATCTCACGGGCAGCTCTGGAGTTTGGTGGCCTTTCAGCATTGTTCCAAACTGGGGACAAATTGGGGCCAGCCTTCTCACTACATAGTGATCAGTCACTGAATGCAGGCTGGTGCCAGGCACGGGGCATGAGCTTAGACAAAGCAGCTTTCTCGATGTAGGGCCATTTCTAGAGAAACAATGTGGCTTGCCAACAGTTATCAGCCACCAGCTGTCTTGGCAATTGGGGAAACGCCTGCCTCGGTGCTTGGGCAGATCCAGAGGGCACTGCGGCGTCCATTATGTCAGGCTCTCTGAGTCTCCTGTTCATGACCGGTTGGAAGAGTCCAACAGGTCTGCTGAAACGTGACCTGCTGAAATGTGAGTTTCAGCCTGGCTGGTTTCTTTTGAGACTCTGGGTTCTGGATTCAGACCCCCTCCCTCCCTAGGATGGAGATGAATGTCTGCAGAAATGTGAGAAAACAAGATAGCCTGTTTGCTAACAGCTGTCTTCCTTGCTTGCAGCGTGCAGAGCTTGCTTTCACAAACAGTGCTTCCAGTCCTCCGAGTGCCCCCGGTGTGTGAGGATCACAGCTAGGAGAAAACTTCTGGAAAGTGTGGCCTCTGCAGCAACATGATGCCCCTGAGTATTGTGAAAAAGACTGTTCAACCTGCCTTATGATAACATCGATTTGTGTCCATTATTGGTGACATTGTTTTAGATATCTGGTATTGTATATTAAGGAAAAAGATGGTCTATATTCTCTTTATTGCATATACTTAATGTTTCAAAAGATTGCAGAGTCTGTGATTAAGCACAGGGTTGATAGTGGTTTTGTTTACAAATGTTCTGTTTTGGCTGCTATTGGTTTTTTAAAGAGGTTTTTTTTATACTTTTGTATTTGAATAGTGATGTTTAACTGATGTTGAGCCAGTGTGTGTGTGTGTGTGTGTGTGTGTGTACATATGTGAATGGTAACTGACAAGATGAATTACTCAATTTCTCTCCCTCTAATGCTTGTTTGATGAAACTGCTTGGTTCTTTCAGTGAACAAGAATATGACCCCAAATCTGTTTGTCCTGGCTTTTATTTCTTCAAGAAACAGACTTCCACTTAAATGCCATTTTGTGATTGTGTCAATCATACACATTTTATTTACTCCAGAGTTTGAATAGAGAGTACACATTTCTTCTGCAGCTTTATTTCATGATGAGTTTGAGTTGCTTAGCAGGGCGTGTAGATCCAGTTGAAGTGCAGTTTGAAGCAGCTGCCTCTAGATGGCATTCTTTCAGGTGGCACAAATCAAACCTGTATTTGTCGTCTCTGTTCCACACGCTGTAATGTCAAGGGACGCAGGAGTAGAACTCCATCCCTGCCCTTGAGGATCTTGCTTTATAGATGTAAAACTGAACATACGGTATTTGCAGATTTAAACAAATTGGGGGAAATAATGAACAGTGTAATTCTAGTAATAACATTAAAATCATAGACATTGACTAATAAGGTTAAGTGAATCACAAAACCTTTATGAATTTCTTTTTCCTAGTAGTTCTTATATGTTTTCCTGAAACATGTGAGCCTATTCTTTTTTCTTCTTTCTACTTTCTATATACTTTCTCCTACTTGAAAAAGGGGCCTTGAGGCTGGGTCCCTTCATGGTATATCTTTAGACTGAACGGTTTTCAGCCTAGGGCTTGGATGTTATATTCCCTGGGATTCGCATGCCCTGACTAAACCTACCTTGATTTTCTCAGACAGCACAGGCAGGCAATAAAGCATCACAGATTGTCCCCTAACTCCATCCAGCCGTGTGTATGTGTGTGTGTTATTCAATGGGATAGTACTGAGCACATGAAAGAAATGAATGACTTCTGTCAGTCTCTTTTCATTCAGTCTTCTCATTCTGTCAGTGTTTTCTCATCCGTGATGCCTCTGCCAGAACTGTGCTCACATTCATCATTTAAGCCAGATCTTTTTTTTAACTATTATAGAAGGTAGGCACGGCCGGGCACGGTGGCTCAAGCCTGTAATCCCAGCACTTTGGGAGGCCGAGACAGGCGGATCACAAGGTCAGGAGATCAAGACCATCCTGGCTAACACGGTGAAATCCCGTCTCTACTAAAAATACAAAAAAATTAGTCGGGCGTGGTGGCGGGCGCCTGTAGTCCCAGCTACCCCGGAGGCTGAGGCGGGAGAATGGCGGGAACCTGGGAGGCGGAGCTTGCAGAGAGCCGAGATCGCGCCACTGCACTCCAGCCTGGGCGACAGAGCAAAGACTCCGTCTCAAAAAAAAAAAGAAGGTAGGCACATAGAATAAATAAAACCAGATTTCAAACAATGTTTCATTCTTGCCCATGGCTCATATTCCCTGTTAGGAATCAAGGGTAAGAGGAGTGGTATGTTCACATTCCTTTCTGAGGTAAATGTCTGTATCTCCATTTACAGGCATGGAAACTGAGGCCTAGAGAAGAGAAATAACTTGCCTACGTTCCCACAGGAAGTGCATGATGGAGCTGGGGTTGGCATTCAAGTCCACCTGCCTCCAAAGCCCATGCTTAGCCCCTGCTTCTTTTGTGGCGTCTTTTCGAGACAAAGGAGTAAAAACAACCTTAACTGGTACGTGTTGCTCGAACCTGCGGAACTGGCATTGGGCGGAGCTTTTCTCACCTCAGTGTTGATGTAAGACAGTCGCTGTGGCCCGAGCCTTGCTTGAAGGGCTCTGTGCTCGGGGTTTGTGTGTTTGTAAGGCACGATGAGCCTGTGTGTGTTACGTATCTTTGGTATTAAGGAAGAGTGCACAGCAGTGGCTAGGAGGTGATGCTTTTGATTTTTTATTTTGAGGAAGAATGAGGTCATTTAAATCACTGCAATGTGGGATTTGTCTGAGACTTTGTTCGTCTCCAATGTGGTACCAGAGGCTTCTTCCCAGGGCGACACCTGTTATGGAAGTGATCTTCAGCCCACATGGAGCACCCCGTAGGGAAGTGATGAGTCATGGCATAGATAGCTGTTTAATGGGTCTTCCTGATCGTGAGGGTTTTCTGTTCCATTCTTCCTTGGCTGCCGGAAAGAAGACAAATGCCTGGTCAGACCATTCCCCGCTGTGGGGCATCAGCTGCAGTGCTGTGAAGGTCAGCGATTCATTTCCTGCCTCTACACTCTTCACATGGGCAATTCCAGCAGTGTGTCATTTACAGTCATGATTCTCAGCTGCAGAGAGGAAGTTACACCATCTCGAGGCAGAGGCTATAGGATGCGGAGGGGCGAGCCATCCCAAAGACGTCTGGTGTGTTGACCTGGGTGAGAATTCTTGGCCACAGCTTCAGATTAGATCCCAAATATGCCACTTTCTACCTACCTATGGTGACTCTGGGTGCTCTAGTTTGGTTTGTTTGACTCCTGCAAACCTCACGCTGAAATTTGGTCCCCAGTGTTGAAGGTGGGTCTAATAAGAGGTGTTTGGGTCGTGTGCGGGCAGATCCCTCATGAATAGCTTGGTGGTGTCTTTGTGGTAATGAGTGAGTTCTCACTCTTAGTTCCCGTGAGAGTTGGTTGTTATAAAGAGCCTGGCGCCTCCCTGCCCTCTCTTTGCCTCCTCTCTTTCCTTACAGTCTCTGCACACGCAGGCTCCTCTTCCCCTCAGCCACAAATCCTCACCAGAAGCAGATATGGGTGCCATGCTTGTACAGCCTGCAGAACCATGAGCCAAATTAACCTCTTTTCTTTATAAATCACCCAGCCTCAGGTATTCCTTTACGGCAACACAAATAGACTCAGACACCGGAGAAGCCATTTAAACTATCTAAGCCTCTGTTTGTAAAATGAGGGATATGACTCTCTGCAGTTGAGATGAGGATTAGAAATGAAAATGAAGCACCCACGAAAAGGCCTGGTATAAGCAAGGGCAAATGGTAATAATGAGGTCTAGACAGATTACAAACTGAGTCATACCCCTTCTTTTCTGTATCTCAGGGTCAGTTACTCCCTGGGTCTCAGTTTATACTCTGTAATACAAGGATTAGAACAATAGCTACTGTTGTGGGTTGAATTGTGTCCTGTGAAAGAATACGTTAAAGGCCTAACTCCAGATGTCTGTGCTGTGTCCTGTTGGGATGAGGGTCTTTGCAGATGTGGTTAAGTTAGGATGAGGACATAGTGCATTAGGATGAGTTTGGATCTAGTGACTGGTGTCCTTATAAGAAAAGGGAAATTGAGAGAAGAGAGAAGATGGAGGGAAGAACAAAAGCAGAGGTTGGGGTGATGCATCTACAAGCCAAGGAGCACCAAGGATTGCTGGTGGCCACCAGAAGCCGGAGATAGGCAGGGGGCAGATTCTTCCTCAGAGCCTTTAAAAAAAAAAAAAAAAAAAAAAAAAAAAAAAAACCAACGTGGCTGACCCCTGGATTTCAAACTTCTGGCACTGAGAATTATGAGAGAATAAATTCCTGGTTTTTTTTTTTTTTTTTTTTGAGGTGGAGTCTTGCTCTGTCACCCAGTCTGGAGTGCAGTGGTACGATCTCGGCTCACTGCAACCTTCGCCACCTGGGTTCAAGTGATTCTCCTGTCTCAGCCTCCTGGGTAGCTGGAATTGCAGGCGCACGCCACCACACCTGAATAATTTTTGTATTTTTAGTAGAGACGGGTTTTCACCATGTTGGCCAGGCTGGTCTCAAACTCCTGACCTCAGGTGATCTGCCTGCCCCGGCTTCTGAAAGTGCTGGGATTACAGGCCTGAGCCACTGCACTTGGCTCTGTTGTTTTAAACCACCCAGAGTGTGGTCATTTGTCTGAGACTTCAGAATTCAAACTGCTGGAAGGAGCATGGTAGACATGTTGGGAAGGGGTTTGACACTGAGTTTCTGCTCCCAGGTCTGAGCCTGCATGGCTGGCTTAGCCACTGTCAAACGCCACCTGCAGGAAGCCTTCCTGAGCTAATCCCCAAAGGAGGGTGAAGTGTGTCATTTGTCAACCTCCTTTACAAGCGTGCTTCCTTAAAACAAGCATTTAAGGATCTCTGTCTTTAAATAATTTCTCAACTGGTATGGGAAGGAAAACCGTAGTTCCCCTTTTTCACTTCACTAGAAACTAAAACAATACTTTTATGAGTAATGCTGAGGTAGCAGGCTGTAGGCACAATTGGGAAGCTTCAGCGCAAACATGAGAAAATGAGAACCTCTGCATCCTTGCACGTCTGGGCAGCTCTCCAAGCCAAGAGGACTAAGGATTGAAGAGCTTAACCACATAGGTTAAGCAAATTGTGTATTTTTCCTTGCACTTTTTTTTTTTTTTTTTTTGAGACAGGGTCTCGCTCTGTCTCTCTGGCTGGAGTGCAGTTGGCGTGATCTTGGCTCACTGCAACCTCTGCCACCCAGTTCAAACGATTTTCCAGCCTCAGCTTCCCTAGTAGCTGGGACCACAGGCATGTGGCACCACGCCCAGCTAATTTTTTTCTGTTTTTGGTAGAGATGGAGTTTCGCCATGTTGGCCAGGCTGGTCTCAATCTCCTGACCTCGAGTGATCTGCCCGCCTCGGCCTCCCAAAGTGCTTGGATTACCGGCATGAGCCAGTGCGCCCAGCCCTTCCTTGCACATTTTGTGGCCTTTACCTGTGCTTCCAGCCTTCTGTCTCCCCAGAGCTGCCCCCTCTTTTTTTGTCTTGCCATGTTCCTGCCTCCATGGTCTTGTTCTTGCATCCCTTGCCTGGGATCAGGACTGCCCCTTCATCCTGAGAAAGAGGCCCTGCTCTGGCCTTCCTCGGGCTACGTACATCCCCACTGGTGAGGAGACAAAGGGCAAGGGCACTCAAAGCCCCCAGCCCTCCTGTTAGATCATGTACCTGGAGCCCCAGACAGAATCCCCTGCCCTGTCATCTCAAATCCACTTTTAGGGCTGCTCAGGTCTTTCCCCTGGTCCAGCCTCCGGAAAGTGAACTGTGCTGCTAAGACCAAGAGGCAGCTGTTTGTGGGACAGAGCCAAAGTGGGAAGAGACAGGGGCAGGGGTTGGCCCGATGCTAGCTATACCTGAGCCACCATGCTCCAGAGCAGAGCACTGAGGAGTCAAAGATTTCAAAACTCAAACCTGCTTTCTCGGGTCCTGATGAAGGAATATTCACCATGGCAGGAGGATAAAACATATTTCAGATTTTAAATACTTGGATACATGGCACGTGGACCTGTATGTGTACTCTTGCATAGGCTCTGCAGATGGGAGTGGTGGGCCCCTCCCCTTTCCATCTCCCTCCCGATCTTGCTCATCCTTCAGGGTACTGCACATGCACACACACGCTCCCTTCGCCTTAAACTCTGATATCTGCATTTACCTCATTATTCCACTGGGAACAGCTCTCAGAACTTTTGGCAACCTTTGATCCTTTCTATCTGCCCTTGAAAGTCTCTTGGAGACTATGAGAGAGACTTGATTCTCCCTTTGCTCCTGCAGCCCCCGAAGGTCCACGTTCCTGAGGGTCCTACCCAGCTCCCTGTGATTGTTTGAAATAGAACTAC